GCACAATAAAGAATGCGCGACTAGTTCCAACTTATACCAAAATTCAAGTAAGTGCGCCGAATACGGGATTGTAACGACAGATGCTCGGTCCTTTCTCCATGTATTCCGCTTTCGTATGTGCCACTTTGTAGAATTCAGGCTGAAAATTCAAATTTCAAGTTTGATAAAAACTACGAAAATTTCTTTTTCGTGAAATTATTTTATTTTTCCATGAAAACATTCAAAACGCAATAAAATACACGCAGAATAATTTTTCCAAAGAGATATACATTGAAATAGCAAAATTTCGGATAATTAGTTTTCGCTTTCTCAATGAAGCTCATCTAAATTCATAAGTTATGTTAATAAAAATAGCACACGAAATGAATTTAGGTTGATACAGCATAATATTAATGGAAAATTGATGTCATTCTTAGCATCAGAAAAGCTCGATATTAAGAGGAAAATCTGCTGATCTTTTCAATCTTTGCCTTTTCCTTTTTCAGACTTTTTTTTTGCAAAAATCGCAATATTCTGTCATCGTTATTTGATAACTGCATGAAATCTTATGAAATTAGTAGCCTTTCATTCTCCAAAGATAAAAGCTGCTCCTTAATACATTCAATTCACTGCGTATAAAAGTAAAGAATTTTAATATGAAAATGCATACATACCGTATCTGCAAGAGTACTACCACCAAACCATACCGCATATCGCTGCATTTTATGAGATACGACCTGCACATCGATTGGTTTAGGCTGAAAAAAGAATTCTTGATTATAAAAAGTCCGAGAAGGGAATAAATTGCAAAAAAATGGAATACGGAATAATGAACAATACTACATTCGTCCACATAAGTCAACAAAGTGAAGGAGATATAGATAAGTTTAAACCTAAAATGATGAAAAAGTTGTCAGTTTCGTAAAGATAACCCACGAATCCATCACCTCTATCCGCAATGCTTCAAGAAAGTGTCACATCAATAGAAGACATTTAAATTACCGTTAGCCGTCCACCCGATAATTCCTCGCTTAACGCTAAACGAGCATTGGAAATTCGCTTGATATCACGCTGCATACGTCGCGCGAAATCTTTGAACATTGTCGAACCGCCGGAAAGAACGATATTCTCATAGAGACCACGGCGTACATCAATTGGACATTGTTGAATTACGGTATCCACAATTTCAGAGATTGGCACTGTGAAATCTGGATTGGCAAACTGAAACGGAATGCGAACTTCAGAAAATTCATTGTACAACAAAGAGAAAAAATAAATTGCGGAATTATCGAAGTAGCAATCTACAAAGTAAGAAATGTTTTTAATTAAAGCTGGAAGAAAATCTTAAAATATAACAGCTAACGAAGTTAAATGAAATTCTTTAAGTACTCCAAAGAAGTATCACGCTAATATCAACAGAAAAAGATAAACCATACTTCCGGATGGAAAAAAATTTCTGGACCGAGAAATCGTTCATATCCCACATCAACCGTGAATGATTTTTTGGTTATGCTATTTATTCCATCGTATGTTTTGAACCATTTTGCTCCATCCGTGTCATATTTTATAAATTCCCGCAAAATGTCCGGACAAACATAGCAATATTTTTCCTAAAAACATAGCTCATTAACTGAATAAAAGGATAAGCAACTTAGCAGAAGAGTCATTAATCCCATCTTTTTGCAGAGTCATTGATCACCAAAGGCAAAAATATTTACTGAAAATTTTGTAATATTATCAGTTATTTTGCCAAATGCAGTGACATAAAGTGAACGCCTGCAAAGGTCATGAGTATCATCAGCAAAAATAAAGGGTAAACGAGAGCAAATCTTCTTTTGAGATTCAATTACGATTAGTAAACAACAGCATAAATATTTCAATTGAATCTTAAAGCCAGAAACCATAAAGCTTACTTTAATCGATTTCGCAACTTCATAACTTTGATCCGACGGCACTGTATTTTCGCGTTCTCGAAGTAATTGCTGTATGAAATAGGTAATATCTCTTCCAGCAATAGGTATATGTTTAATACATGAACCGATTACATAACCTTCCGCAACAGGGATACAATGTGTTACACCATCACCGCTATCAACGACCTGGATATCACAATATTAATGAAGAATTACAACGAAAGTTTAGTTTCATTAATTAGTCTTATTTTTTTAGTTTTATTAATTTTATTCACTTCAATTCTTCATTTTCTTTGCCGGAAATATAAGTAAAAGCACTACCAGACAAAAATTAGCAAACATGGAATGGTGGATTCTCAGATTTGACTATATATACACTATTATTTACAATCTCCTTCATTTGTAAATCTTTTTATTACAATACTCAATACAAGCAGGCGACGGTGATTGGTATCTTTTTTCTTAAAATATTTTTATAGCAACTTCATTTCAATATTTTTCTTCGTTGTTGCAAAGGATGCCAAGGCTACTCTGAGTAGTTTACCTTTTCAAACAATCACGCTGAGGAAAAAGAAACATAACTCACCAATCCTGTCAATGGACGGTGCAATAAATCTCGGCTTTGCCAGGGAGCCGCAAGTGCTAGTACAGCCTGTACGGCAATGTACAAACCAGGTACGTTGAATGATTCAAACATAATTTCAGCTGTATATTCACGATTTTCTGGCGTATTTAAAGGTGGTTCTGTCTGAAAATAATTACAATTAAAAACAGAATTATCTGATTAATAAAAATGACAAAATTAATATTCTAAGCTTTATCATCGAGTGAAACTAATAGGTTAAAAAAAATCAAACGAAATTAGATGAAATCTAACTGGAAAATTTTAGGTCTACACATTTAGTATGCAAAAACAATTTCTAGCCCTAGTCTTAAGCCGATCATTTCAATTTTCTTAATTTTAGATTGAAAAGTTAGTTGAGAAACGAGAATTTGCCATTAAAAAAGCAAAACAAAGCATGCTAGTTTGCTATGGACAACAGCAAGAGATACACACCAACAGAAAATAATGATCTTCTGGTTCAGCTCGCAGATACTTGAAAATACATTGTTCCAAAAATCGTTCCATTAAATCCCAATCTTCCACAATTCCATGACGAATTGGATACTAAATAGACGGAAATAAATGCCATATTTCTTGATTAAAGTAGCATTATATTTTATGATTAATTTAAAGAACTATACTTTGACAGCATAATTAGCGGCACTCGGTGAAAGAGCCTCATCGCCAATGTAAAAGTCAAGATCTTCAATCCGTGAACTAGTATTTGCATTCCATCGCAATGCTGATGACTGAGAACCCATCTTCTCTCGTATTGCTATTGCTATAAAGAATGAATTTATATATCTAAAGTGGTAAATCGAAACTGACCATGATCATAAAATGTAAAACAATGGTTCAATTTTAGAAGTAATTTGTAAAAAATAAAAATGCTGGCCTGAGGGAATAATAAACTGTGGTTCAGAATTTCCTGCATAACCAAGTTTCGTGTACCTGGAATTATCATTAATTATAAGATGCTACTTCCACCAACAGGTCTTCACTGCTGTAGTTTTTAAATAAAAGAATTGGATTCATAACCTTGCTTATAATTCGATGACAAAGCCACTTCCGAATAGTGTAACCATAACTTAATGCATATTTCCAATCAAATTTGATGCTTAATATGATGGAAATCATAAAGTTTTAAAAAAAATTTTAATTTCCACCATATTTTTCATCAAGGAAAGCGAGTGAATTCAAATGCAATTAGCTTAAGTTTAAGCAGAAAACTTGGGATCAATAATTAAAAAATAACAATGAATGGCTAACCCCGTTCCACAGTCAATGACACAAGCGGGCAATCGTCCAGCAGCCATTCCGGTACCCTAGGTAATATACACCTTTTTTTGAACTCAGTTGCTATATCACCACTGAGAAATGATGCTGAACCTTCCTAAAAACACGACATTTTTATTTTTTGTTTAAAGAAAAATTTAATTTAACATATAAAAACAACACAAATTAAAATTGCTGCTGAAAAGAAAAATCCTAGCTATAATTCAGCGGAAGCAAAGCTTCCGCAATCACAAATTTTTATAGCTTAAATTTAGACATTTCTATTGCGATTTCTCCCTTTACTTCCCCTATTTAAGTTTCAAAGGTCTTTCAAATATCAGAGAAAAACAATTCAAAATTCAAGAAAAAAGATTCCGCCGTAACAAATTTTAAACGAAATTTGCTATAATTGCAGATTAAGAAAAAAAACTTTCTCGCAATTTTAAAATCCTTATTTGTATAAATTTCTACGCTCATAATCAGAAGTTTCAAAAGAAAAAAAACCCTTGTAATCATCAGCCTTGATAGCAAAAAATCCACATAATTCTTTTTTTCAAAAAATAACATTTCTCGCAGAGAAAATTATTGACAACCGCATATACTGATGATGTAACTATACTGTTAATCTACCACATCAATACATACCAGTATCACTTATATAAAAGCATTTGATAAACAAAAAAATGAGGGAAAAAATCAAAAACTAGTAGACGAATAAATATGTAAACAACGTCAGATTGTTACAATGTGAAAAAAGAGGAGAAGAAAGTAACTAAGGACCGGAAATAAAATAAACAACCAATAGATTAATGAAGTGCCTGGACTAGCAAGTAAAAATGCGATTAAATGATACTAAAATACTCAAGTTTTTTTTATGCTAAAGAATGATGTTACCAGATCTCATCAAATGCAAATAACAGTGGAAATTGCGAAGTGAACACCTTAAACAGCTCTCGCTCACTTTATACGTAGTTTTAGTTTTATAAATCAGTGTATTTTTCCTTTCTTTTGTTGAATATACAAATTACTAAAGTTACTTTAAAAAAAAGGAATTTATATATTTTGTAAATGAGCAAATAGACGAATAAGTAATAAAAAGATTATCAAAACAAATAAGTGAATCAATAATTAAGTAAAGTTAAGCAAAGGAATGTAGTATCTCGTAAAAGCACGTCTCACGCACAATCAATCAAGGACATTACTTAAATTAATATACCAAAATTCTGAACTTGTAGTTTGAAGTTTCCAATCATACAAGTCACTTTATTTTTCTCTCATTTCGCCGAACCCCCAATTCAATAAATTCAATCAGAATTTAAACATGTTGATGAAAAATAAACAGATGAATAAATTGAGGGGTATACCTCCAATAATTTCCTTGACTATCCTTAAACATAATCTTGAAGACTCAATTGCAGTAAATTTGAAGTAAACATATAATTTGTAACACACCAAATATTCAAGATCAATGTTAATCAAATATCTCAACATTTGAACTCAAGTACTTCTGTTACTAATATTATAACAGAATTTGCACTCAAATTTATCCCTAAGTTAATAAAACCATTTTTCTTAGGAGTAATGCAACATGCTAGAGAGGAAAAAAAGAGAAGAGGAAGGAACAACGTTATCCATATCTTAACAACTAAAGTTATTTCCGGAACTACTAACAAATAGCTCAATTAGCATAGAAGATGAGAGATAAAGACAAAATGACAGATACCTTAAGCTTTCCAAGTTGCTGATAGATTAATAATGATGGATTCGATTTGATTCCTTGAGATATTACTATCAAATAGCATAATGTATTGAGATTAATTACAGTGTTATTCGATGACGACTTTCGATATCATCTCCTACCAGTATAACAACAACTACTCCCGATGGACCGCAGTATCGCGACATACGCTTGTGCAATACCACGGAAAGAAAGATCACGAAAAACAAGATGGGAAAAAAACAAAACACTAAAGTGATGACAAATCTTTTCTCATTAGACGCAACTATATTTTACAGCAAACTCATGGCCCATTCAGTGTTCCATTAAAACCCTATTGTTAACCCAGAGTTGCAACTTTACTACAAGCAGTGATTAAAATATGTGGTAGTTTTTGCTTCGTCTTTTCTGCGGGGAAAGAAGAGGTTGGTAAGAAAGTGTGAACTTATAGCATTGAAATGTAAAGGGAAAGAAAAATTGAAATTTGATATAATATGTTTTCAGAGATTGAAAAATTCGTTAATGAGCTAATTTTCAATTATCGCTAATGTAAAATTGATATATATATATATGTGAGTAATTTTACATGGAATAATATTAAATTGAAATAATATAATTCAGCAATTTAATCTAATACTTTCAGTTTAATTAAGAAATTGATATATTTGTTATAGTTATTATTTAAGTTATTATTTAGTTAGTTAATAGTTATTATTTCATCTCATATTTAATACGTTCCATATTATTTCATATATTAAATACAGTATTAAATAACAAAGTAATTCATTGTGTTAAAAATATATTATTATCATCTCATAGAAATTTATGAAAATTATTGAATTATTTTTGTGATAAATTCATTATATGATAATAATGTAACATAGAAATTGATTGCTGTGCAAATTGTATTTCTGTCTAAAAACTAAAAATTCATGTAAGTTTATGCTAAAGTTCAAAAAGTGATGATACATTTAGTTTAAAGCCAATTTAACTTTTGATCAAATAATGATAAGTTCATTATATGATAATATCATGATAACTCAACTTTGAAATGTTTGAAAAATAGTTATGAATAGTATTACAGAGCAGATGGCTAAAGATTGAGAAGTTGAAGAAATTAGAATCGAAGAGGAGATGAGAATCTGATTCAACATTTAAGATTCAATGAAAAAAAAAACACTAAGGTAGAATTAAAGAGGACGTGAGAATCTGATTCAGTATTTAAGACTCAATAAAAATAGGAAAAGTACAAGAGAAGAATCAATCAGCCATTTATTATTAATACCTATCTGCTATCGATTTATACAATTTCCTGACAAGCCATTTTAGTATTTCCTACCTTGGATCGTAAATCTGAATAGAATTTTGGAATTATTCATTCTCTTTTATTTAAGAATAGGCCTGTTATCTGGAATAGTGCGAAATCTAATTAACAATTTTGAAATCAATGAAATATTTCTTTCTTAATTTACCTGAAACTCTTAACAACCTTGCAATTCCTTAAATATAATTACATTAGATGTTGCTATAATTCATTGGAATATTTTCAAACAACTGGAATTATTTTCGGAATTTAAAATATTTTTGAATAACCTAAAATTGATTTAAAATATTTTCAAACAACCAGAATTATTATACTCTAAGATTGATTCGATGATTACAACTATTTAATAATCATTTGCTATAATTTTAATATTAATTTGATGAATCATTCTATCCTTTAATTTATTTAAAGCTTTATCGTTGTAGCATTAAAACATGGGAAATATTATCAATTGTATATATCGCTATAATAATAGAATAATAATCAGCTTGAAATTAATTATCATTTCTTATCAGTTAAACTTAATTAAAAAAAAAACTTTCCAATTATCAATAAATGATAATGATCAAGGAAGTTTTTTATCAAAATTTATTTTAAGGAAAGAAAATACAATTTTTTATTATCATCAAGAATGTATGCGAAGTGTATAATAATATTAACTGTTCTCTAAGTTATACAATTAGGCCTTCTTCATATCTTTTAGGCCTGAGCAATAGATAATTAAACATTCCTCTCTCTTCATTCATTCCTAAGAAAGAGAATAGGAAAGGCAGAGGAAGGAAAAAAAACTGAAAATATACATATATATGGTTTTGATGACGTCAAGAAATAGCACTATGCCTTAATGATAACAAACACATCGTATGGCCAAGTAAATCGATTTCTCATAACCGATCTTTTAAGCCTCACTCCGCCTTGCTCATATTATATTACCACAATCGACCCAATTCTAATTATATCTGCAAGCAAAAACTAAAGACGCTATCAGTTTTATTCAAATGCTACTATAATGAATGGGACAATGATAATGATGCGAAATTATCACTCATATCGCAGCTATTTTCTGCTCTTTATCATCGTTATGATATTAACAACTTTCGATCAATCTGTTCAACAATCAAATTTTGGTTATAATTATAAGAATAATTATGGTGAAAATGGAAAAGCTTATGAAGATAGTAATAATGATAATGTTGATGATGATGATGATGATGATAACATTATTGGTAATGATAATCGAAATATTGCGTCATTTCAATATTATGAAGATTTGGATAATACAAATGATAAGGTTTTAATTAATTGTTTTAAACTTTTTTAATTAGTTTTTTTTGATACATTTTTTAAATTATTATTTTTCCGTTTGATAATTTTCAAATTTTCCTTTCAATCCCTTATTGATTGATTTTTTGGTTTGTTGAAATAATTTATTTCATTTTTAAATTTCAATAATTTCTTTTGATCGAATATATCCTTTGGAATATTTCCGCTTTTCTTCTTCGTTAGATATAATTTAGGTGCTCTTTTGTTCTCTTAATTATTTTATTAATTCTTTTTCTTTTAAAATTTAGGCTTACATTTTACCGATCTCAAAACCAATTGGACAAGTGACAGGCCTTGGAATTAATTCACAAGGATATCTTTTAGCTTTTCATAGAGCTGATCGAGTATGGAATCGACGGTATGATAAGTTTTTTTTTTCTTACTTTTAAAACTTCAAAAATTTGTATCAATTTGATAAATTAATTAATTATTCTTTCATCATTAATTAATTATTCTTTTATCTAATTAACACAAAGTTGGTTAGTAAAAAATCTCAAATATATTGTCTACGTTATCTAAGAGATGATCAAGCAGGCAATAGAAGTTATAAATGCATAGATAAGTATATACCTAATCGACTTTTTAATGAAGCACTTTTAAACTATAAGAATAAAATTTGCATTCCGTAAATATTATTAGATAACCGGATAGGTTAATCAGGTAAAAATTAAGGATTAAAAAACATTGGAAAATCCGATAGAAATTCAATCATTTTTACACACTTTCTCTTTTTAAACTTTTTTTACTATATAATTAATAAATTCCCAAAAATTTTTACTAATTAATTTTAGAAATTTTTTAATTACTATCATTTTAAATTTGATTTTAAATGATAATTTTAAAATGATAGTTATATTTTGAAATCAACGAAATGAGAGAATAAATAATTTCGAATAATTATAGTATAGCAATATTTTCATCGAAGTACGAAGCAATCGAGTATTAAAGTATTCCCGAGAGTTTTCAGTATTGAATAGATAATAGTTTGATTTGATTAATTAATAGTTAGCTAAGCCTTTTGAATTATCAATGATGCAAAAAAAATAATAGGATAAATGGAGAGAGACAATTCATAATTTAGATTAATGAGCCCATTCCAAGAAATCATTTCAATAATTGCAGCAGCTTTATCTTCTAACCTTATAATTGGCCTAAAGTATCATAATTGTCACAATTGGCCTGAAGTAGGATCCTCATAATTGGCCTAAAGTAGGGTCCTCATAATTGGCCTAAAGTAAAAATGCTTTATCACAAGTATCACATTGACTTATTATAATATTTATCTTCCAGCTGGTCCTCTGAACCTTAAGCCTATAATCATATAATAAAATTTTCGAGAATTTAAGAAAAAATTTTCAATTATATAAAAGAAATATATGACTTTTAATGATTCACTACTATAGTTAATTAATGAGAGTTTATTAAGTTTTTCAAATTTAATAAATCTTTTTAATTATACGCCCACGCCAATTTATATTTATTTATTATTTTCTCTAAAAAATTAAAAATGAGAAAATGAAATGAGTTAAATCCATCTAAATAAGTATTTGCTAAATAAATTTAATTAAATTAGGATGAGATTAGAAATTTTACCTTTTTAAGATTAGGCAAATTTTTTGAATTAAAATTATATGATTAAATATTGTGAAGAGATGAATTATGATGTATTGATAATGATTAGTAATATCCATGTTGATAAATTCTTATGATAATGATTTGATTACTTGTAATGATTGTTGTTCTATTTGTGAACATTATAGACTATATAATTAAGTTATATGATTATAAATGACTATAAATTTATGATTAATTAGTTCTATTAATCATTTATAACTTTCAGTTACGTTTGAGAAGATTGTGACACGTAAAATTTGACGTAAAATTTACGCTTAAATTTTAGCGTTTTATGATAACATTGCGTATTTTACCTTTTACTCATAAAATACGAAATTTTAAGGTCATTTGATAAATATAATAAATTTGATGAAAATCTTGGACCAATAAAAAATGCAACAATCTATATGATTGATCCGCATTCTGGTACAGTGATAAAGGAATTTGGCAAAGATATTTTTTACATGCCACATGGATTAACGGTGGATAGCAATGATAACATTTGGGTAACAGATGTTGGATCACATCAGGTAGGAATAAATTTAAATATTCTAATTTTATCACAAAATATTAATTGATATTTCTTTTTCCTTTTCAATTTGATAGGTATATAATTAATTATTGTCTCTTAGTTTAAAATAATTATTATCTATTAGTTTAATATGATTATTGTCTGTTAGTTTAATATAATTATTGTCTATTATTTTAATATAATTATTGTCTATTAGTTTAATAAAATTTAATATTTGATAAGAAATTCATGTTATATTTTACAGTAGAATAATTATGATAATTAAGTTAATTTTTTGTTATTTCATAATTTCATTAATATTCAAGGATTATTTTAGGTATTCAAATATGATAAGAATTTCAAATTATTGATGAAACTTGGTGAACATCTGAAACCAGGTTCTGATAAGAGACATTTTTGTAAACCAACTGATATAGCCGTTGCCCATAATGGACACTTCTTTGTGGCCGATGGTTATTGTAATAATAGAATCATGAAGTTTGATGAAAATGGCAAACTATTAGCAGAATTTGGTCATTCAAATGGTTTGTTCTGTTACTTTAGACATTATTAAAGTTAACTGATTTCATTGAATAATTAATTCCATTAATTAAACATTTTGATTTTCAAAAATTTTCTTTGCAAGCCTAATCCTAAAAAATGCGATATATGCTTAATGGAATTAATTATGCATGATAGATAGATTAATTATGCATGATAAATAGTTATGCAATAATTGAATAAATGGATTTTTAAAATAAAAATATTGTAAAAAATTGAATTTTAAAAAATATTTAATTTCAAATTTTCAAAAGGATAGAAATAATTATTACTACTTACTAGATTATTGTTGTTGTAATTTGTTGTTGTTGTAATTAAATTGTTGTTATCGTAATTTGTTGTTGTTGCAATTAAATTGTTGTTGTTGTTGTTGTTGTTGTTGTTGTTGTTGCTGTTGTAATTTCAACACTTACTACTTGATTCTATCATTTTTTTTCATCATTCATAGATAGTTACCAAAAGTTATGAAAATCAAAATATATGATGACTTTCGAATTATTACCTTCAATTAACGATTATCAAAAATTACCTATATTGGTGATAATAGAAATTTAATCAATTGATTTTATAGTTATCAAACTCAAAAATTGTAATTATTATTTTCATATTAATTACACAAATTCTTATTTTAATATTAGTCAAAATATATGTTATGATTTAATGTGTATGAAAAGAATAAAAATGAAATTAAAAAAATTAAAATCGTAAAATTTGTTAATTTCGAAAAATTAAAATTAGAAAATATTTCCATACGAACCAAAAGAACTTTGTAAACAAAAAAGAAAAGTAAAGGAAAAATTTTTGAAAAAATGATGACATCCAATTCTGACTGATAAGTTTTTCAAACGAAATAGGCCTTTCATTTCAGTCTTTTTTTGTTGCTAAAATAGGCCTTTAATTTCATTCTTTCTTTTTGTTGTTAAGATGGGCCTCTCATTTCAGTCCATTCTTTCTTTTTGCCGTTAAAATAGGCCTTTTCATTTCAGTCTTTTTTTGTTGCCAAAATAGGCCTTTCATTTCATTCTTTCTTTTTGTTGTTAAAATAGGCCTTGCAGTTCAAATCTTTCTTTTTTTCGTTTTAACGAAATATTCGAATACGAGCGATAAAAGAATTTTGCATGCAACAAAAGTAGAAAAATTATAATTTTTAAAAAATTGAAAAATTATTTCTCATTTTCTTTTGTTTTAAATGATTAACATGGAATTAGTCATTTTTAACTAAATGATAAGAATTTCATTTTATCATATCATTTAATAAGTTTTACTGCTTTTTTTTATTCCTTATGAATTTGAAATATAAGTTTAAACGAATATTTAAAACTGAATGATAAATTGAAATTACCTTATCATTCTTTGATAGCATTAATTATTACAGGTTTTGGTGCGGTAGCGAATAATCAATTTTCGATACCACATTCGATAGCTCTTATTGAGGATTTAAATTTGATTTGTGTGGCAGAACGTGAAAATGAACGGATTAAATGCTTTAGTGCTGGCATTGCTGATGAACAACGAGCATTACCAACCGGAATGTTAATTACTAAAGCGGAAAGTGTTGGTCGAATTTATGCAATTCGTGAAAAAAGTTAGCAATTAATTGCTTCGCTTTTCCTTTCTATTCTATTTCCTAAGAAAATTAGCAATTTATAAGATCGGAAAAAACTTCCGGAAAATTTTAAAAATTACTGATAGTTCTAATTTTAAGTATTACTTACTGATAGTTATAATTTTATTATGATAGTTCTAATTACTGATTTATAGAATTACTGATAGTTTTAATTTTAAGTAATAATGTTAAGTGATAATTAGCAATGGAATGTTTTTTTTTTCTTTCGAAGATACATTACGATATATATATATATATATATTTCTAAATGATATCATATCATATCAGAATATCTGGCATCAAATAATTATATATTGAATATCGTTTAATTATGACGTGAGATATCAAGTACTATATCATTATAATATATTATATTATAACGTATAACATGATATATTAAGTTATTATATCTATTACAACGTGTAGTATCAACAACAAAGTTGACTGAAATTTTTAAATTTAATAAATTAATTAGATATTGTAGGACACTATTTGATTGGTGTTACTGATTCGGATGGTGGAAGTATTGAACCACAATTATTTGTGATGGATATGAACAGTGGAAAAACGGATACATTTGTTAAAGTAATAAAATTTGAAATGAATTTTTTGAAATTTTAATTAACAAAATGAATCGATAAATTTTTGAAAAAAGATTTTCATCAAAAGCTAAAAAAGAAAAATAGAATTTCTCATTATGTATTTGTTTTATTTTAAGGGAATCGAAAATGCTCATTGTTTAGCAATTTCGGATAATGGCATCGTTTATGTTGGACAAACTGAGCCGAAGCAAATCGTTCAACTTTCGCTACGTGATCAGTAATTGAAATCGCTATCCCATACTGAATTAAAACTAAAGCATAAAAAATTTCAATTCCAATTAATTTTGTTTCCTTTCAATTAATGAATATGTGTGAGAAATGAGTGAGAAGAAGGAGATGAAGTAAATCGTTAAACTTTCGCTATTTAATCAGTAATTGAAATCGCTATCCCATACTGAATTAAAAATGAAACTTTTCGTATAAATATTTCAATTCCCATTAATTCGTTCTCTTTCAATTAATGAATATATGTGAGAAGAAGAAGGTGAGATATACAAACGAAAATTAATTTTACTTTTTTCCACATTGCATATTTCCTATGTAAATGAAATGCGATCGCAATTTGTATATGTTAGTGCAACGCAAAAAAAAGATTTCATTTGCTTTAAAGCTTCAAATCGTAAAATTGGAAAGTGCAGAAAACATCGATAGCTAATTAAAAAATAAATTCAAATTTATAGTATCATATAATATTACGGATAGTTTTTATGAAATCATACAGAATTAGAAATAAATGATTAGTAATTAGAGTAATTAGTTGCATAATTTATTAATTTTTTAATTAATTCTTTTAGCCATAAGATTTTCAATTAAATATATTTTAAGATTAATGAATTACTGAAATATGAAATGAATCAACAGATCATCCAATCAATAATTGATTGATATGAGATAATGCTGATAAAATGATGCTTAAGGAATTCATCATCATATTATGATTATTTAATAATAATAATTATTTTTAAGGTAATCAAATTTTTCCAAAAAAAAAAAGTTATGAGTAATTTATGCTATTATCGAAAGTTAATTAATTTATAATCTAATTATTATCAGTAAAATATCACAACATCAAATATCGATCAATCAAAGTTCATTTAATAATCAAATTTACCTACAAAAAAAAGAATTATAAATGAATTCTTATAATTATGCAAAGCTAAATAAATTAAAGTTCGCTCACTATCATTAATGGAAACATAAAATATTATGATATCATTTAATGATCGATTTAAATTTGATAAAAATTATAGATAAGCTTTAGGAATATTAACAAATTTAAAAAGACATTCATTAATGAATTATTGTAATTACAGGTGTTTTATCATTTTGTTTTCTTTTTTGTTTCAGATTTTTATGTTTGTACTTATTATCTTATTTTGAAATAATATTTCAATTAATTTACAAAATAAAAATTACTTGACAGCAAATAATTTATGTCATTTTACTATTATTATTATTATTATTATTATTATTATTATTGTTATTATTATTATCATAATTATTAATATTATCATTATTAATATTATTATTATTAATCCGACAAATTTCGCTTGAACGTTGGTCGATATAATACATTTATCTCTAATTAATTAACCAAATAATTAATTAAAAAAAGCATATGTATGAAATGAAAATGTTGTAATAAATGTATTAAATTTATATTTCCTTACTACAAATAATTCATGCTAATTTTCGATTTATAGTAAGGAAAGAAATCATTCAATCAGTTTATTTCTACAATTTTTTTCATTGGACTTCTTTCTACTACAAAATAGAATACCTTAATTTATAAATAAGATTAATAATTAAAAGTAAAACTAATATCGGAAGTAGTCCTATGAGTGTAAAAGTATTCTATGGCAGGTGTAAGAATGTATTTGTTTGAATTGATTATACTTTCAAATAATTAACAATTATAAAACAATAGAATATTATAGAGGAAAGTTTGCAAATGACTTAATTCAAAGAAACTTATTTTAAATTCAACTTCTATAAATGTTTGAAAAAATTATTTCAAACTATTTGCTTTAATTAAAAGTTAAAAGAATAACTTTAAATTACTTAAATAATTTAGTCACTCAAAATTTCAAAAGTTAAGAGAAAAACAAATTAATTATTTGCTTTGATTAAAAGTTAAAAGAATAGCTTTAAATTACTTAAAAATTTTAACCATTCAAAATTTCAAAAAGTTACGACAAATTAATTATTTGCTTTAAACAAAAGTTAGAAGAAGTAAGTTTAAATTACTTAAAAAATATAATCACTGAAAAATTAACAAAATAAATTTTATCTTAAAACAAAAGAAATTATTATTAGTAATTTGTGCCAACGAATGAAATAAATATTTCGGAAAAGTCAGAAATTTCATAAATGATTTTTAACCTTTGAAAAGTAAAAATGAATTTGCAATTAGCTTAAAAAAATTAATGAAAACAAAAACTTTTGTTTTTGTTGTATTATTTAAAGGGACGTAATATTTTCGATACTATTCAATAAAATTATCAAATAAAAATTTTTCATACAAAAATAAAAGGTTCAAATTTTCTCTTCTTTCTTTCCAAAAAAAGGCCTATAATGTTAGCTTTAAGCAAACATGCCTTTCTCATATTTTTCTCTCTCTCTCTTATAATATTTACATAAGGACAAAAAAGATGAATAAAAAAATTTAACAGATTATATCTTAGGTTTTCTGAGAAAAAGGAAACTTACCAACCAGCTTACAGCGAACAAAAACTGGCCTAAAATTGCAAATGCCTATTGTCATTTGCATGTAACACAAATAGTAATACATGCCTATAAATGTCCTCTCTCTCTCTTTTATAATATTTACATAAGGACAAAAAAGTTGAATGAAAAAATTTAACAGATTATATCTTAGGTTTTCTGAAAAAAAGGAAACTTACCAACCAGCTTACAGCGAACAAAAACTGGCCTAAAAATTGCAAATGCCTATTGTCATTTGCATGTAACACAAATAGTAATACATACCTATAAATGTCAACTAAATAAACATTTCCATTTGGTAATATTTGTATAAGAAGATAAAATTGAATAGAAGAAAATTTGATGGCTTTGCTTCAGTTTTGCTGATAAAATAATCAATTTACCAACAAGAGAAGGACGAGAGAAAGTGGACTAAAATTTACAATGCCTATTATTATCATGCCTTCAGATATCACCTCATCTAATATTGAATCATGCCTTCAGGTGTCATTCATTGTTGAAACATACCTTCACGTATCATTCATTATTGAAGCATGCCTTCAGGTATCATCCATTGTTGAAACATACTTTTAAGTATCATGCATTATTGACGTGTCATCATCCTTCACGTGTCATTCATTTTTGAATCATGCTTTCAGGTGTCATCCATTGTTGAGACATACCTTTAAATATCATCCATTACTGAAACATATCTTCCCGTATCATCCATTTGTAAATTTTGCCTCAACATTAATAAATTTCTTACCTTAACTTTACTATCACCAATCTTTCTTAAGCAAAAATTTTACTTTTTTAATTAAAATTTTTATCTCTTAATTAATTAATTAATTGATAGGCATATGTTCGATTTCAGTCTTCAATTATTTTTTAGTTATTTTTGTTGATGTAATTTCAATTGTTTTAGTTGTTTTTAAATTTTTCAAATTGCAATTACAATTTATTAAAATACTTCAAAATATAAATTTGAAAATTTCATTAATTACTATTATTGACTAATATTATATTTTATTACTTTTTTTTAGATAATTTTTGGCTTATTTTAGAATTATTAATTAAAGTAATTAATTCTTTTCCTTTTTATGGTATGATTTATAAGAAATGTAAATAATTTAGTTATGAAATAAAACAAAAGGTTAGCTGTTATTTTAGAAGCGAAACAATAAAAGGGGAATGGTATAGAGCAGAAATACCTAAAATACTTTAAAGAATTTAGAGGTGCTATTAAAGCATCACAAAATTCACACCAATATTCTCCGTGCAATAATATATTTTTCTAAGCTATCTATAATATTACATCAATTTATCATATCATTGTTAATGTCTTCTTATCTCTGTGTAAATATTTATCTCTGTATTCTATGTAAAAACCTCTGTAAACATTTATCTCTGTATAAAAACTCTGTAGAAATTTATCTCCAGATAAAAATCTCTGTAAATATTTATCTCTATATAAAACCTTTGTATAAATTTATCATTGTATAAAACATCTGTAGAAATTCATCGCTGTATAAAACCTCTATAAGAATTTATCACTGTATAAAAACCTCTATAAAAATATCTCTATATAAAAATCTCTATAAAAAATCTCTATATAAAATCTCTATAAATATTTATCACTATATCAAACCGAGAAATCACACATATTTCAATTGATGATAGCTAATTTTGTTTTTTGTCGTCGAAATTTAAATTGGAAAAAAGAAAACAAAATCAGACTGATACATTGCAAGCGAACAAACAACAAATGAATAATACTTATTTATGATTCAAATTCTAATCAACAAAAATAAAAGTGCAAACTTTTACGAAATTAATAAACTATTATTATTATTATTATTATCATTGTTATTATTACTATTATTGCGAAATTAATAAACTATTATTACTATTATTATTATTGCTATTATTATCATTATTTGTTAATAATAATATTATTGCTACTATTATTATTTTTTTACTGTTATTATTATTGTTGTTGTTATTATTATATATTATTATTATTACTACTATTATTTATTATTATTATTACTATTATTATTATTATAATATTATTATTATTATTATATTATTATTGTTGCTGTTATTATTATATATTATTATTACTATTATTATTATTATATTATTATTATTATGTATTATTATCATTGTACAAAACACATTTGTTGAATTAGACAAATTAAATTTTAAAATTTCAACTTTCATTAATTTGTTACAAAAATTTTTGCTCCATTAATACATCATTCTAAATGTGTGATAATTTTCTTCATCCGTTCCAGTTAATGTTATTCGCATTAATTACATTAGAAAATTAAATACATTTTGAAAATTTATTTATTACAATATTAACATCTACTTGCATTTCTGCTTATATGATAAAAACAAGTTTATAAATTGAAATAAATAAATTAAGCAATTCATATTCTAAAGGAAATTATTTACAGCGTCATACATATAATTAAGATTATATAATTAAGAAATAAAATTGCTCTTCACTTTT